GCTCCCTGCCTGCGGCGTGCCGTGGTCCCCACACGCTCTCTGGACACCCGTGGGGCCCACCTGCCGCTGCCCGGTGTCCCTCTTGCGTCCACACCCGGGCCTTGGACCTGCACTCCCCCCCCCCCACCTCTCCGCTCCCCTGCTCGCGGTCCGCAGGCCTCAACGACAGTGGCCACCCCGTGTGTCCGGCTCAGGACAGAAAGCACCAGGGGCCCCGATGGCCCCGCTCTGCTCACTGCGCCCCCGGGTCCGACCTCTCCACGGTGGGTGCCGCTGCAGACTCGCCTCCGGCTGCTGGAGGGGGCAGGAACGCTGGGCGCGCGGAAGGAGAGGTCCGAGGGCGCGGCACGGCGTCCTGTGAGATGGGGTCCGCGGCTGTGCGCAAGGACACGGGGGTGGCGGCAGCATGAGCTGCGAGACGGCGGAGTCCGGCTAGTGCCTGGGGCTGCGGCCTGGGGCGCGCATAGATGCGGTGCCCAGGCTCGGGGTTCAGGGGGGTACCTGCCCACACTGGTGGGGGCGGGGAATGCTGCGGGTGCCCCTGCCTGGTCATTTATTCACTGCACCCCATGTCACCTCCAACATGCCCTGGAAGGTTCACGGGCGTGCGGTCCCTCCCCTCCCACAGACCTGCGTGCTCCCAGGGTAGCGAGAGCCAGGAGACGCCCAAAGTTCGACAGTCGCGGCTGTTGTTAGCGTCTTCTAAAGAGGAGGCATCCCTGGGTAGCAGGGGTGGAAGCCTTGGTCAGAGGTGATCCAGCATTGGATCCACCATTGGTTCCCGGAAGAAGTGGGCTGGGGGTGAAAGGTGATCTTAAAACGTGTTCCTGGGGTGTGACCCACCTGTCTCAGCTGGGGCTGTGGAGGACTTACCACCCTCCTGCACCCAACCAACCTCAGTTTCCCCTGGTAAGAGCATTCTGTCTCTGGCCCAGGCCACGGCAGTCAGGACAGTGGAGTGCATTTAGGGGAGGGGCAGGAGTGTGTGTGGGGGGGTCACCATTGGACACAGAGGTGGGGCTGACCCTCTGCAAACTGGAAGTAGAGGTCAGAAAAGTGCCCCTGTAAGAGGCTGGGATTGGGTGGTTGTCTGAACCCTCTTTGCTCCTGTCTAGCACAAGGAGGGGCACCGGACACCTGCAGTTGCCAGAGAGGTGTCCTGTGCTGCTGTGTCCAGAGAGGAGAGCCCTGTGCTGCTCTGTCCACTCTGCAGCTCCCAGAGCTGTTCTGTTGTTGGGCTGGCCTGACCTCCAGCCACCAGGCTCAGGCTCTGAAGCCCATCCCTGTCCTCAGACCCCTGGGAAACCCCTGTTCCCCTTCTCCCAGGAGCTGGGAAAGACGCCTTTCCTCATGCTGGGGAGATGCTGGGCTGTTTGGGGTGACTTGTGGGAGCACTGCACAAAGCATCTTGCATACCAAGCTTATTTCATCGGTCCCATGACTTACGCACGATCCCACACCATTTCTGGGGGTTTGGTGGGTGGGGTGGGGCCTGTTCCCAGTGCTCACGGTGGGCTGGCTGAGCAGCTCCTGTCTGGTAGGGGCTCTGGATGTGAAAGGCCCCATGGTCAGTTTCTCCCTAACTGAATCTCCCCACAGTTGAAAGGGCTCAAGGGCAATTTTCCCATGAGTGTGTAGTTTTTGTGACTAAGAAGATTGCTCTTAGGAATAATGGCTCTTGTGGAATTATGTTCCAAGAGGCAGCCTCGGTGCTGGGGCCTATTTTGTTCTTTGCTGCTGTGAACTGTACCTGGGGGGTTGAGTATTTACAGGGATGGCAGAGGCAGGGGCTGGCAGCCTGCTAAGCCCCTCCTGGGCTCTGGGCAATGTGGAGCCTGGGAGCGGCCTCAGAAAAGCCCCAGAGGCTGAGAGCTACCAACAAGACAAAGAGCTTATTTGATTTAAGATCAAGTGTGCATTCAAGAGCTAGGAAGCCCAGGACCCTGCTGGGGAGGCCCTGATCCCTCAGCCTTCTCCCCTCCAGGAGTGGGTAGCCCACCTTCGGGGCTCACCTCAGGTTCCAGGAGGCAAGGGCTGGAAGCCCCTCCTTGATGTCTTGGTGAGCTGCAGTCCTCCGAAGCTGGCCTGTGTGTCCTGTTCACCTGGATTCACATAGCCCCCCGCCTGTCTCTAGACCTTGGCCCTTTTACAGTCTGTTCTTCACATACTGCCCAGGGAAGCTGTAAACGTTACTTTCGATGTTCAATTTAGATGTGGGAGGGGCTGTTGGGGGTTGGGTCCTGGGAGCAGATCCAGAGCAGCCTTTGTCTGAGTCCTCCAAGAGAGGCCACTCCCAGCTAGGCACGAATGCCAGCTGAAGCCATGGGTGAGTGTGGGCTCCAGCTGAAGCCACCCTCGTCCCCAACCCAGGGACACTCTTTCAGCCCAGAGGGTCTAGAGAGGCATCAACAAGACTCCCAGCACTGTCTCACAATCCAGTCATCCCACAATGTTGACCTGAATCTTTTTGTTAAATAGGTCTGTTTGTTTTGTTTCATGGTACTGGGGATGGAACCCAGAGCCTCGAGCATGCTAAACAAGAGCTCTACCACTTGAGATACATCCCAGGTTTTGTCACACACCTCACAAAGGACCACAGCACACCAGCTGCTGGGATTCTGCACCCAGAGGCAGCAAGTCCAGGACTCTGGGCTGTCAGCTTTGTCTCTCTTGGGGGATTTGCACACAGGCTCTGTCTCTTCTGTCTTCTCTTTACTGATGGAAAGTTGTCATTGTCATGCCTTATGGGATTTCCATCTTGTCTCCAGCTGCCATACATTAGAATTTTCTTTTTTTTTTTTTTCCCAATGCTGGGAATACAATCCAGGGCCTCACGCACACTAGGCAAGCTCTACACTGAGCTATATCCCCAGGCCAGGATTTCCCCTTTTTCATGACTGCAGCTCAGTGGTGATATTTAGGGTATTATGACTTCATCCTGTAAGGACAGAACTTAGGCCTATCCTGGAGAAGCCCGGCACCTGACATGCTCTCTGAAAGGCATGCCTTTGCCCTCCCCTTCATTTCTCGTAGCCTCTGCTTGACTTTCCTGTCTCTGCTGTGTTTAGATCCTTCAGCCTCTTCCAATGCACTGATTCTCTCTTCGACGCCATCTAGACCAATTGATCCTGACATTTGTGGCCATGGGGTTTTATAGTTGTTGTTAGTTTATTTAAGTGGTGGCCTTTTCCACACCCAAGATCTGTGGTTTTTAAGAGTAGACACCTGTTCATTTTATTCAAAGTCAAGTTTACTCCATAATATTTGTGCCTCACTGAGAATCCAGTATGTTCTAAGCATACTGGTTAAGTCATATTTTTATTTTACCTGAAAGAAATCTGCTAATCCATCTCCCCTTGTTGATTTTCTAGGTCATGTTTCTTAGCATTGGTGAGCCTCAAAAACTTGGAGTTTTTGGTGTGTGGTCTTATGGGGAGGGAAGTTTGCTTTTTGTCATTGGTGGGGATGTTTGTTCTGGGATCCCCCACTCTTGTCCCTTTTTCCCCTGTTCGGATTTCTTCCACCTGGTCCCTGGTATCCTCAGGGTCCAGTTCTGCCCTGGTAGCTGCTGGGGTGTTCCCTGTCTGTGGTGACTTGGGCCACTGCAGACCAGCTGAGTAGGCCCAGGCTCCAGGTCAGCACAGCTGACAGTCTGGCTCACACTGAGGGCTTCTGCAACACGGCTATGCCCTCTGGGTACTTGGTGCCTTGCTGGCCACCTGGCATCACTGAGCCCATGTGTCAGCACTGCCTGGTGTCCTCATCAGAGGAGGTGTTTATTTTCTCTCAAGCATCACCATCTTTGTGACGATGCCAAACATACAGAAAAACACAAAGTGATCTGACAGGCACCGACTCCCCCTCCCCATGCCTGTTGGGCTCTCCGTGAAGGAATTGCATCTGCCTCCTCCTCTCCTCCCTCTGGGCCACAATTCTTCCCCTGGCTCTGCCCCTCTGTGGGCTGCCAGGCATGTGCCCCTTGAAGGCTGTGTCCTCAGCCCTGTGTGCTTCCTTTAGCCGTCACCGTTCTGTGCATCCCGTGAGTCCACTCATCCAGGGTGTCCATGCAGTGTGGGGAGGACCCATGTCTACTATATTCCACACGGTGCCCTCAGCCTGGAGCTTAAGGAATATCTGTTATTGTTGTGGAGGGGACAGAACCCCATCCTGGCCAAGCAAGCAGCTGAGGGAGCCCATGCCCCAGAAGGTGCCCCAACATGTGTCCCTGGAAGCTGCAATGACAACACCCAGTCTGGTTATTTCCCAGGTTGCCATAGCCCAGCATCATCTGTCCAGGGATGGGCAGGCTGACCAACCACTGTCCAGGCTCAGGGACCTCTGGGGTCATTGCTGTTGCACAGACTCTCAGAACAGGCCCTGCTGGGGGATGAGCACTGCTTGCCAGGGGATGACATCCCTAGAGCCAGGTTGATGCCAACAGGTCCTCCTGCAGAAGGGAGGCCCAGCCCACTTCTGGGCACCACACATGCTGCTGGAATCAGTGGGATGTGACAGGTCTGCGGCAGCCGTAGCCTCTTTGCCTCCGTCCCTCTCCCTGTCCACCGGCTGCCTCTCCTGTGGTCTGGAAGCCCTGGGATGCTGATCTCCACTGGGCGTCTGTCACTGTCCTGCCCGGCTGCACCTCCCCCACAGGGATCTGAGAAGCCTCAGGGAGACAGTGCCGGATGGCCGAGGCCAAGCCGTGGGAGCCACGGGGGCGCAGGTCATAGGCCAGCCACTGCGGTATTGACAGACAGCGTACCTCTTGGCTGTGTCCCCATGGTGGCTGCTCCTTCCTCTCTGGGCTTGTTTTCCAAACAATTTGCTTAATGTGATTCCCGGCCGAGTTGAACATGACTAATGGTGTTTACCCGCTGCCGTCGAGCAGGCGGCCCGGGGACGGGTAGGAGGAAGGAATGCCTGGATGTGTCCTGCTCACCGCGTCCCCTTCTTCTTCCACAGAGCGGACACCAGCTGGTGATTGGCCTCTGGCCGCTGCCATGGAGCCCCTGTTCCTGGCCTCCACATCCGGCTGGAATGCCTCAGCTGCCCCCAGAGCTGACCACAATGGAACAATGGCAGAGCCAGTGCCGTCAGCAGGGGCCCGGGCAGTACTGGTGCCCATCTTGTACCTGCTGGTGTGTGCCGTGGGACTGGGCGGCAACACGCTGGTCATCTATGTGGTACTGCGTCACGCTAAGATGAAGACGGTCACCAACGTGTACATCCTCAACCTGGCCGTGGCAGACGTGCTGCTCATGCTGGGGCTGCCCTTCCTGGCCACGCAGAACGCTGTGTCCTACTGGCCCTTCGGCCCCTTCCTGTGCCGCCTGGTGATGACGCTGGACGGCATTAATCAGTTCACCAGCATCTTCTGCCTGACTGTCATGAGCGTAGACCGCTACCTGGCTGTGGTGCACCCGCTCCGCTCTGCCCGGTGGCGCCGCCCACGGGTGGCCAAACTGGCCAGCGCTGCCGTCTGGGCCTTCTCCCTGCTCATGTCCCTCCCGCTCCTGGTCTTCGCCGACATCCAGGAGGGCTGGGGCACCTGTAACCTCAGCTGGCCGGAGCCCGTGGGGCTGTGGGGCACGGTCTTCATCACCTACACGTCAGTGCTGGGCTTCTTCGGGCCTCTGTTGGTCATCTGCCTCTGCTACCTGCTCATCGTGGTGAGGGTGAAGGCTGCAGGCGTGCAGGTGGGCTCCTCACGGCGGCGGCGCTCAGAGCGCAAGGTGACCCGCATGGTGGTGGTGGTGGTGCTGGTGTTTGTGGGCTGCTGGCTGCCTTTCTTCATCGTCAACATTGTCAACTTGGCCTTCACGCTGCCCGAGGAGCCGGCCTCTGCTGGCCTCTACTTCTTCGTGGTGGTCCTGTCCTATGCCAACAGCTGTGCCAACCCGCTTCTTTATGGCTTTCTCTCCGACAACTTCCGCCAGAGTTTCCGGAAGGTCCTGTGTTTCCGTCGGGGCTATGGCACAGAGGACGCAGATGCCATAGAGCCACGGCTGGACAAGAGTGGGCGGCCTCAGGAAACCGTACTGCCCTCACGCAGTTGTGAGGCCAACGGTCGCATGCAGACCAGCAGGCTGTGAGGAGTCACGGGGAGCACCCGGCTCTTATGGGGCCTCTGTGATGTTGTCCTCTGGGATGTGGAGGTGTGTGAGATGCCCCCCACTCCAAGCCTAAGAGTTGGACTCTCGGTGGTAGCATAAAGACAGGGCTGTCTGGGGCCAGGTGATGAGTGGACATGCCCTGTGGTGTGGCAACTGACAGTAACTCCTGCCATCCTTTCTGCCAGGCCAGGATCTGGGGGTTGGAGGAGAAGGGTGTGACAGGCTCAACACCAGGAGGAACTCAACCCCAGAAGTGCCTGGGCATCTCCACCCCATCGTGGCCTGGTCCTTGCCAGCCTCCCACACCAGGGGAGCAATTTTCCAGAAGGCCAGCTGGGGCAAGAGGCTCTTCCTGACCACTGGTGTGAACTGGTGACCACCCGCACCAAAGCCGTGCTGGACCTGCCTGGTCTCCACTAGTTGCATGCACCCCTCGTTGTGTGAGCTCTGTGTCATCTGGTCAGTGTCCAAGTGCTGCTCTGTAGAATTAAAGATGCCCCAAATGTGCTTGGTTGCAGCCTCTGCTCCACAGGATTTCCAGGGGCTGGACAGCCGCACCAGCTTCACAGTGGCCCTGCAGCTGTGTTGACTTTGGAGGCAGCAGGTGCCAACCTACACTGACCCTGGGATTGCTAGGGTCCACTGGAATCCCAGAGGAGACACTGCTTCAGGGCCTTCACCTGCCTGTCTGCCTGCCTGCCACCCACCACCTTGACTGTCCACTGTGCAATCACTGTCCAAGTGAGGTGAATGAACCCAGGCTCCACAGTGCAGGGGGTGGGGGGCAGGCATAGGGACATTGCTTTTGTCTGAGCCTCCCAGGAAGGAGAGATACAAGGGGCAGGGGCCCCATTGGAGGTGTCCCTGAGGGCACCTAAAGGAGCCCACAGTTTCATGCAGAGCCTCTGGGCCAGGAGAGAGAGCAGGCCGAACAGACGGCAGCGGGAAGCTCCCTCCCAGTGTAAATAGCAGAGGCTGGGAAGAGGGCTGGATGGATAGCACTGTGTAGGGACTATAAATGGTGGTTATCAGTCCCTGGGGAATCTGGCCAGCCCAGTACTGCACTCCCTGCCCACCCATCCCTGAAAGCCCCCACTTCCACATCTTGCTGAGGTCCCCAAGGTACCTCAGCCATCTCTGAGGCTTCAGAAAGAAGTCAATTCTGCCAGACTCTGCTATGGGGCAGCCCTGGTCTGACTGGGTCCCCCAGAAGGTACACAGGGGCCAGGCCAGTGGGATAGGCTAGGAAGAGCTGAGGTTATCTGCTGGGTTTCAGACAAAAATGACCCCCAGACAGAACCAGGCCTGGAAGCCTGTTCTGTGCAATGATGGTGCTCATGTTTGACAGACAGCTCCCCGAATAAATTAGAGAATAAATGTTTGATTCTTTCCCAAAGCAAATACTGTTCCTGGAGCAGAATGAAGTCAGTGTAAACAGGGGCTTTTTGGTAGGTGCTAGGCCTTCTGGCCCCCAGCCCCAGCCAAGCAGAGCCAAGCCTAGAAAAGACGGGGTGGGGGTGACTCAATCTGGCTGGAAGTGGGGATCAGGGATGGTTACAGGATAAGACAGGTGGCTAAATGGTTCAAAAAAGGGTGGGAGTTGGCCCTTTCTGGGATCATTGTGGCTCCATGTGGTTCCCATGGAACTCTGCCTGAGTCTCCAGGAGTTAGGAACAGAACTCACTCTGCCCACCAAGGCCAGCATCCCAAGTGAGGGGAGCGGGGGTGGAACGGTCTGCTCAAGGAAAACCAAGGCCAGTTCATGCTGAACCCCCACCCCAGTTGGCTCAGGGGAGTGAGCAGGGGGCCCTGAAGTCTCAGCTCCTTGATTTGACATGGAGAGCTTCTCCCCAGGCCGAGGCAGCCTAGAGTGCCCCATGGGAGAACAGCTGTGTGCATGTGTGTGTCCTGTCCATGGAGAGATGGTCAGTGCCTCTTACAGGAGGAAACTGAGTGACATCATGATGGATGCAATGTGCTTCTCAGGATGGCCCTGCGCCTAGGGGCACCCTGCTCTCTACCTCAGGCCCTGTGTGGCCTGCAGCACTGTCCAGGCCCCAGCTCTAGGGACCCTGTTTCCCTCTGTCCCACACACCAGCCTCACAGCCCCATGTGCCTACAGTCTGGCTACCTGGCCACACATGGCTCACCTGCACACCTTTGGTCACAGCTTCACTCTGGTCAGGTGCACACACTCCCCAGACCAAACCCGAGCAGCATAGGTCCTCTCTGGTAGCTTCAACCATGCTGACTCCAAGGAGGGAGGAGGAGACAATAAACTCCTGGTGGTGCTCCCTGACAGCTGAGCCTGATCACATCTTGCTGCCCACAGCCCCTGGCCTGGCAGACACCTAGAAACACAGCCATGTGTGCCTGCCATGTGCCCACCTGAGGTGTGGCCCTATGATCCAAAGCTGAGGTGGATGCAGAGGGAACAGCACCTGTGAAGATGCAGGAGCTCTCTGTCTTGGAATGGAGTGGGAAAAAGGAGCAGATGCAGCCTGGCCATGCTCCAGGGGCTTCATCACAAGCCACAGCAAGGAAGGATGGGCCACAGGGACACTAGCCAGAGGACAGGAGAGATCAGAGGAGGGAATCACCCAACATGAGCCTGATACGGACAGCATACAGAAGGCAGGCCACCAGGGACAGGCAGGTGAATGAGTGGGGTGGGGCCAAGGGTATTGATAAGGCAGACCATGGTCATTGGGGAGGTGGGGGAAAGGGGATTCCTGCTTAGGGAACAAGGCAAGGAGACACCCCAGAATGTTCCCAGGACCTGTGGGATGTTCTCAGAGTTTCTGCACACCAGGGATGTGACTTGGCTGGTATGCACAGAAGCACCTAGGGAACACAGAGTAGGCGATGAGGATCCAGACACACCACGGGCACCTGCCGGGAGCCCTGAACAGCTTCAAGGGAGCTGGGCTGCCCCCACCCACATCACCACTGTGACTGAGAGGCTGTGGGTGGGTAAGGACTCTAGGAACCACAGGCCACCACCATTTTGAGCCGCCGGGGGTTGCAGGGGTGGCAAAGAGCAAACATCCTGGGGCGGGGGGGGGGGCACGGCAGTGACCTGCTTTATGGGCTCTCTGTGCGCATCAATAGGTTTTATTGGCTGCTGGGCTCCAGCGACTCACAGAGTGACCTTGCTCAGGAAATCCGGCCTGCAGGGCAGGGACTAGGACAGGGAACAGGAGGTGTCTGTTTGCTGGGTGGGGTGGGGTGCAGACTGAGAAGGGTGGGTGATGAGGAAGCAGCCCCCAGGCAGAACGGGTGTTGGTCCCCCATAACTGTGGGATCCAAGGCTCATCTCGAGGCTGAGCAAGGCTGGGGTGGCAGCCCGGTGGGCAGTGACTCCTCCCCGCCCACTACCCTCATCTGCGGGAGCATGGTCAGGGTGTCCTGGGTGGGTCCAAGGAAGGATGAGGAGGGGCTGCCCATCAAAAGGTAGCCTGGGGGAGGGGAGGACATTGGCAGCATGTTGCCATTATAGCTGTCACTGGGCCAGGGCCTGGGAACACTGATGCCTCCCACCAGGTGGGACCCCACGGGTAGGAGCCAGGCAGAAGGACACTGTGGGGTCCCAGGGAGCCAGGCTGGGGATGTTTGCTCATGTCTCTCTCATGCCCCTCTGGGACCCTGGGGCCTCATCCCGTCATGGGAAACAGGTGCCACTCAATTCCAATAGTTTGTAATAAAAGGAAGTTGGCTGGCAGCTTGTCCACCCTGGGGGGAAGCCTAGGGAACAGGCTCATCAGAACCTAGAGATGGAGGGGCCGGTGATGGCCCATCTGAGAGAGCAGAGACCTCTCACGGCCTCTTCCTGTCTGCCCGCCCTTCCATACTCTGCAGGACTGCTCAACTGGAAGTAGTTGTAGGGGGCCCATTAGATCAGTGGTCAGTGCAGGGCTGTGGGAAAGTCCAGATGGGGTGCGCAAATTGGGGACACCCAGCCCCCCCACTCAAGTCAGTGCTTGTGTGGTCATTGAGCCTGAGTGGGTGGTCAGGGGTGGGGGTGCCAGGAGCTTTCCCATGAGTCAGGGCTCTGGTCTCCCACCCTTACCTGCCATCTGGACCTGTCTCCCTCCCACAGGGACTGGAGCTGTGGGAAAGAGTCACTGGCCAGACCTGTGCCCTCAGAAATGTGTCCCTTCATTCCTAACTTAGCCCTCTGGGATTGCATCAGAGTCCCTGGAACGAGGCAGAGGTCCTGTGATGGGGCTGCTTCTCCTGCCCCCCACCTGGCTATGGCTTCCTTCCCCCCAGCCTGGCGATGCCATTTCACTTCTCCGGGGATCTGGCGCAGTGGAATCCAGTGTATTTGCCCTTCGGTGGCTGATTTTTTTCAGGTAGCATCACGTCCTCAAAGTTCATCCAAGTTGTAGCAGGTGTCAGAATTTCCTGAATGATAGGCTCTCCATCATACCTGGGCACCGCCTTTGTCATCAGTGGACATTTGGAATATGTTTGCTGTCTTTGTGCTTCATAAAAATTTATAAGGAGCAGAAATCACTGTAGAATCTTCTTGTGTGTTCAATCCAACAGGTTCTTGTCAACACTATTTCTACATAGCTTTAAAGAAAGGGTTGCCTATATAATAGGCAAAAGGTAGACACCACCCAGATGTTTAGTGGCAAATGTTGGGTGCACAAATGTGGAGTATTACTCAGCAGTGAAAAGAAACAAATCTCTGACAACTGCTACAAGGAGGAAGCTCTGAAACACACTTGATAAGAGAAGCCAGCCCCCGAAGGACAGGTGTTGTGTGATCCTGCTTACACGAGGTGTCCAGAACAGGCAGATCTACAGGGACAGGAGGCTGGGGAGGGAGTGGATCAGCAGCCTGGTGCACACAGACTCCTGGGGGTGTGAAATACATTAGGAGCGTGACAGAGGTGGTGACAAAAGCACTAAATGCTACCCGGCTGTTCACCTCAAAATGGAAAATTGCATATTGTGAGAATTTCACCTAACGATCTAAAATTGGATTTTTATTGGAATTCCAGTCAGCTGAAAAATCAATATGGAGTGACCTGCTCCCCAGATATCACAGGGCTGTCCGTGTATTTGCATTTTCCTAATTTTCTCCTTGTGGAGGCAGCAAGAACATTCCTGATGAAAGCTGAGTCTGCCCAGCTGGGGGCCTGGGTGCGGTGGAACTGCTTCCTCCCCTCCCTTCTTCTAATTGCTCTGACACCAGCAAGGTTACCATTGATTTTCCGTCTCCAGCCTCTTCTCTGAGGAACGCCCTTATCACCCCACCAGGCTTTGCTGAGTCCCTCTGGCTTTTATCACTTTGCAGGGAATCAAATTGTGACTTTATCTTGTGCTCTTCCACTTCTCAGTCATTTTTTAAGATAAATAAGCTGGGGGTGGTTGGTAGGACACAGCGCTGCTGGCAGTGGCCCCTGGCACATCCCCAGGAGTGTGATGATGCTCTTGGCCGGGCGTCCCCCACTGGGCTCTCTGAGAACTTGCGTCTCGATGGCAGTCAGAGTTTATCAGCTGCCCTTTGCGGCCTCCCAAAGGGTGAGGCCTCCTGCCCTGGTAATGCCCGTGCTGCAGCCTCAGACTTAATATGGTTCTGTGCTGGTGCCTGCAGATCATGGAGACATTTGTTCCTGTTGTGGGAACAGGTGAGGCTCCAGGGAGGAGGTCTCAAAAAGAAGGAGGCCTCCACCTGTCCCTTGGGTACCAGACTCGTGATGTTGCAAAAGAAAACAGAATCTTAGGACGTATGAAGGTAACTGACCAAGAGAGATAATTAGCAAAGCAAAGCAAAGAAAGGGCAGTAGATGGGCGCGGCATCTGAGAACAGAAGCACTGGGAGCTCTAAAGTCAGCAGTCTTTTTCAGAGGTGAAAAAGTGGGTTGGAGTTTGACTTAAACTTGCCTGAGGGTGAGTGGTCTCCTGTGTTCAGGACTCCTGGGGCATCCAGTCACTCCTGCGGTTACATTGTTTCCATATTATCATTTGGGCCCAGAGATACCAAGTCTGGTCAGTTTAGTAAATTTGTGTCATTGTGACATAGATGTGTGTTTCTCCTGAGCCTCCCATAAGCAAAGGATGCTCCTTCCAAGGCAGGTGTGCATCCTGGAGAGGGATCTTTTCATGTGGAAACACTTCTGTAATCAAAGGAGTCATTGCACCAAATGTTTTTCCCCAGGATCGGAGACTGTCTTTAAGATACTCTTGCTGAGATTCCAGAGAATACGAATTATTTGGGCATGAAGGCAAGATGAGAGGGAGAGAGAGAGAGAGAGAGAGAGAGAGAGAGAGAGAGAGAGAGAGAGAGAGAGAGGGAGAGAGAGAGAGAGAGAGGCCTTTTTTTAAACTGCATGTTGTAGTTTGGTGAGAGAACATGAAGCTTCAATAAGCAAAGAAAACAGTGCCTGTGTGCTTTGAATCAAGCTGTTCGTGAATACAGTGCTTATCTCTGAATTCCTGACTCCTGTTTCCCATTCCTCATTTCCACTGTCCTATCCTGCCTCACTCTCAGAGAGGCCCACCCGTCCCTCTGAATGGGCAGCTTGGCTGTGGACCCGCCTGGGACCCCCTGGTCTGTCTGGCTCCTCTAACTCCCGGCCCTGCAATGTGCACTTTCTGGGCTCTGTGGATCTAGGACTTTTTCTGGCAGTATTGCCTATACCCAGCAGCCCTGGCACTCTGCAATGATGGAGGCTGTGAACTCTGAGGCAGCTGGTCTGGGGCTGGGGAAGAGAACTACTGTCTGGGAGTCCCAAGACCCCCCTGCTCAGAGCCTGGTGCAGACAGCAGCTATGGACCCCCAAATCTCAAGCTTCTGCCCCACACAGGCCCTATCTGTGCTCTTCTCCTAGGGTGACCCTCCCGAGGAACTGCTCCCTAATTCTCCCTACCAGGTGTCCAAGTCCTCTGCCCTTCTGGGTCACCCCCTATGAGGCTCAGTCCCAGGCCCCTAAGAGCTACCAGGCCAGAGCCTGGCTTCATGATGTGAGGCTGAAGGAGGCAGAGTGGCCACTGTGTTGGGCCCTAGGTCATCAGACTCCTGGGTCTGGCACCCAGACCTAACTTGGCCCTGGGCAACGTTGGCTGTTGACCTTGCAGTTGCAGGGCCCCCTTGAAGCAGCTCTGGAGGCCCCAACAGAGACCCTGTGCTGGTCAGAGAAGTAGAGCCCACAGGGCAAGCTAGACAGAATGTGGGCTTCATGTGGGGTCTGCTGAGCTGGGCCAGAGCCTGCCCTTGCTTTATGACAAAGGCCTCAGCATCCAGAGGTTGAGTGACCACTGCATTTCGAATAGCAGGCCAGCTGGCTCCTGTGAGTGTCAGCCCTGCACCCTGGAGGTTCAGAGGCATCAGACAGTATACCTGGGGGTACACAGGGGGATGCAACTGGGACTCCTCTCCTGCCCAGACTGGCCCTCAGAATGTGGGGGATAGGGGTTTCCTGGAGGAGAGGGAAGGGAAGACCGAGATCTGAAAGGACAGAGGGAAGTCCATAGTCCTCCAGACCCCCTTGGGCCCTCTCCCTTCCTGTCTGGGCACCTTTATTTCTACGGGGAGCCCTCTCTACCTCCATGTTCCCCATGAGCACTCAGAGGAGGCTCTGATATGCCTGCAGGTTGCCAAGCACCCTGGGCGTGTCCAGTTATTACTCCCATCAGTGGACACAGGCCAGGGCTAAAGTGCAGTCTGAGCTCCACCCACCTACTGTTGTGGGTGGGGGCAGAGCCCGGCCTGGGCACCTGCCCCCACCCATGAAACCTGGGGTCTTCCTAGACCTGTTCAGAGCCCTCCTGTTTTTAGTGGGCTGTGGCTTCAGCCCAGGGCACCTGCCTGTCTCCATTCTGTCCTTGAATGTCTCAAGCCCCCAGGATCTCTGGACCTGTCCCCTCAGAACACAACAGGTGAGATTTGGAGGAAGGGGTTACTCAGGGTCCAGGTGGGCATCCTGGCTCCAGCTTCACACTCAGGAGGGATTGGAAGCTGCAGGCTGAGGCCTCAAGGTGGGGATAGGCTCCTCTCCCTGCAGACAGGCCTTTCATGGACAGCAAATAGTGGTCCCTCTAGTCCTGCCCCCGACTGCTGGCCTGCTGCCCAGAGAGGCCCCACTCCTGCTCCTGGACTTGGCCACAAAGACCTTCATGCATGCTGGGGCAGGGAGAGGGGCATACCCTCACTGCTGCCAGACACAGTCTGACCACGTGACCCTGACCAACTAGGTCTAAGCATGAAGTGACTCGCTAGGGTCTGATCCCAGGCTCTGGGGCACATGAAGATCCAATCTTCCTCTACAACCCAAATCCTTTCCAGACAGATGGGAGACCCCCTGTGAGTCCCAGAAAGTCAGGTCCTCCAGCACTCACCCATGCGTGTACCCCAGAGGTGAGACCCCCATACCTCCAATCCCCCACACCTTGTCACCTTCCCTTCCGCACCCCACCATCTGTTTCCTGCTAAAATGGTGCTTTCAGAGAGGGCCAGCATCCTCCTCTGACCCCTTTGGCCTCCCCCATACCCAACCAGCCCCACTAGGTGCTTGGAGACACTTGACAAGGAGCGAGCATCTGCGTGGTGATGGTGCCAGGTGTGACCCTTTATAAGCAGAACAGGTGAGCACTCACATCCCATGGAGAGGCATCCAGCCCACAGCCCTCAGCCCCTGTGGCTGTCCCATGAGGACAGGCCACCTGTCTGTGTGGCTCAAATGCTGCTGGCATCCATCCCACTCTAGGTCAGCAGGTCTGCAGGAGCAAGGACCATCAAGGGGCCATCAAGGGCCTGGCTGGCTACAGCTCAGCTGCTGGCGTGACCAGGTGGCCACTGAAGGTGATGTAGAGATCCCCGGGCTCACCGTAGATGGCACTGTCCCGGTCACGGTGGAACATGCGCACCCAGACAGTGCGGCCTGTGGTCAGCGGCAGCAGGAGGCTCTGAGCCTGCATGGCGCTGCGCTCGCTGGGTTGCGCATACAGCACAGCCGTGGGCTGCTGGTCCAGCATGATGTGCAGGTAGGCCTCCTTGTAGTTCCAGGTGTGCACATGCAGGTTCAGGAAGTAGATGCCAGGCACCTTGCAGCGGAAGCGGCCAGCGGCCAGGTCAAAGGCACCATGCAGGTTCACCAGCTCAGTGTCAAAGGGCACTGCCTGGAAGCCATCAGTGCTGTGCAGCCCCTCGCGACGGCCCACTGAGAAGGCCGCATAACTGTGCTTGGCACAGGGCACCTGGGGGCCCTGCCTGCCCCTTCTGGCCTTTGTGGCCCGGCCAGCCTCGAAAACCCTGTGGACCCTCCTTCCCGCTCCTTCCCGAACGACCTCTGATGCCTGTCTCGCCTTTCTCACCTGCAGGGGAACAAGTAAAAGCTTTGGGTCAGGTGGCCTGGCCTCCCCTCCCCTTCCAGGCCAGCCATGCCTAGGTCAAGGGTTTGAGCTCCACAGTCACACTGGCTGTGACCTCAGCTCTCCCAAGCCTTGGTTTCCTCATCTGAAAGGTAGGCGCTAATCTGCCCCTCAAATGGGCAACGAGAAGACACTCCCTAAAGGTGTGGCTGTTCTGAGGCTTGTGGCAAAGGTGGTCACTGTGGGGACAAAGGGAAATCAGAGCAGGCTGAAGAGGAACGGTTCAAGCTGGGCTCTGCAGAGCAGGAGAGCTGGGAAGTCCTTATCCAAGTCTAAGTTAAGCACGGCCCACTGTCCAGCCTCAGGACTATTTAGCCTCTGTAGAGGCGTCTCAGACCAAAGGGGCTTCTCGCCTGCCCATGGGCTCGCAGGGACACTGGCCACTTCCTTCCCAAGGGTCCCCAGCCCCACCTCGATTCACAGCCCCCCAGGATAGCTGCTTCCTGAGTGAGGAGCTAGAGCACGTGCAGGCGAGGCCTCTGTGGACACTCACCTTTAAGGATTGTGATGTCTATGGTGGGCCGAACACGGGGCGACTCCTCCCATGGGACCCCCTCGCTCACCCGGGCGTGGGTGGGGGACGACAGCAGGCGGCCAGACTGGGCGGCAGCAATGCACACAGGGCCGCCTGGGCAGCCCCAAGCCCGGCCAGGCCCCTGCGGGCAGCACCAGCACCAGAACCATAAGAGTGGGAGCTGTCATCCCTGTCAGGCCTGGAGGAAGGAGGAGTCTGTAAAGGAGGTGCCCTGGAGCCCCCAAGGCTTCCCAGCAGCCTCAGCTGTACCCTTGCCTAGGGGACCCCTCAGATGGTCAGGGGCCTTGAAGGGCAGCAGTGGAGAGGCCAAAGCTGAGGCCTCGGGAGGGCTTCCCTCCCTGGGGGGTGGGAGGTGGTGGGGTTCCTAATCAGCTCTCCAAACCCAGGGCAGGGCAGGTCCTGGGGAGAGGGGTTTGGACTGCTTACAGGAAGGGCAGGCCTCCAAGACTGGCTCCCATGTGAGACCCTCCATGCAGCCTGACCTGGGCAGCCACAGAAGAGCCTTGGGATACTTGGGAGACTGTCCCTGTGGCCCCCACCCCAGATGGAGAAGGTGATCTGTAGCCTCCCAGTGCTGAGTTGCCCCTGTCCCCAGAAGAGCCTCCATGGGAAGGGCAGCCAGGGCATCGGGTACTCGTGAACCAGATGGGCTCTCGCCTGGCTCCAGCAACAGCTTTCCTTGACGACCCTGTGCCTCAGTTTCCTTCCTGGCAAGGCTCCCACAGAGGGGCATGCCTGAGGCCCAGCCATGGATGGACACCTGCCAGGGCAGTGTGCAGAGTGGGGTTCCTGGATTTTCCCTGCAGTCTGCCCCTTGGGCCTCCTCCTCCAGAAGCCCTCAGTGACTGAGGATCAAGATAAAGTCCTTCCTCTCACATTGTTTGAGACCCACCCAGGCTGTACACCTCAGAGCTGTACAGACCTGAACCCGTACCTGGCCTCAGTGGACCCAGAAGATCTTCCTAGGTTCTCCTAGGACTGTCCAGGAAACAGTCCTATAGGGAGACCTGTACCCGTGGAGCCCCAGCACATCCCTGGACCTCTGGGTCCCTTATGTCCCTATGCCTGCCCTAAACACAGATGTTCTGGGCTGAGCCTCCTCACTGTCTCTCTGCTGGGTTGAGGGGACCCAGGCTGCCCAGGGCATCGTGAAGACCACCCCCCCTCCGCCCACCGCTCCCTGTTACCGTCTCACAACAACGAGCACTGCTGCCTATCCGGCCGGATCCCACCACAGTACTGTCCCCAGCACTGTCAAAGAGACCTTTCATGCTTCCCGGGCGCCTGTGGCTTCCTTCGGTCCATCCAAGACCAACAGGCCCACGGCCAGCTCTGCAGAGCTTCCGTGCAGGATGCTTGCAGGGCCCCTCCATCCACCGCCTGGGCCACCCTCAGCCACTTGCCACAGGGTCTGTGAAGCTAGCCCATGACTCTTATGTCCCCCTGCCAGCTGTCCTCCATGTGCTCACGTATGATAGGTCTGGGGTCTGTGACATCTCAGGCTGGCGAAGGTGGGTGATACCTCAGGCTGGCGTCTCTTCCACCACAGGAAACTGAGCCTGCTGCCTGTCTGGGGTGGTGAGACTGGGCCGGGCAGAGACTGGTGAGGCGGCTGGAGGCCAAAGACTAATGTGGGGAGCCCAGGCCAAGATTAGCTTGGCCACCAACCCACCTGGTGACGCAGAGCTCGTCTGGCCATGGACAAAGAGAGCCCTGGAGAGAGGAGTCTGGTCTACTCTGTGGTGTCTGCTCCCCCCACTCCTGTCTCTCAGGAGACCTCGGCATGAGACCAGCCTTTTAGGGGGTAAGGTTGAGCCCCTTAACAGCCCCTAGTAGAACACAGGGCAGGCAACTCCTGGGGCTCATTTTCTCTAAGGCTTGTCCCTACCTTGTCCACCACCCCCAGGCAGCCAGTTGTTGGAGGCACCAGAGAACTGGGGTGGGCTGGCTCGACTTGGCCAGGGTCAGGCTCCACCCTCATCTCCCCCCCCAGCAGCCTGCCCCTCAGTGGCCAGGAAGGAGAGAAGGGCAGGAGACAATGAGGAGTCCGAGGGGTCCCATTTACGGTGCTTTGCTGTGGGTGAGCAGGGGTTGGTGAGAGCTGTGGGGGGCCTGGACTGCTGGCTTCAAGTGACAGCTCACACCAAGCTCTGCACCCAGGAGGAGCTAGTGGCCCCCTCTGGGAACAGCTGCGTTTGCCCACGGTGGACTATGGTGGCCCAGATGGAGGTGTGAAAATGGAGGCCTAGTCCAGTGACTGACTCACCACCCCTACCCTGCCCCTCAGCACTTCCACCCAGCTGGAAGTAGACAGCAGTTGAGGCCCTGGGTACTGTGTCCCTGCAGGAGCTGGGGGATAAAAGCAGGGCTTCTCTAGGGCTCTGGAGTTTTGAGACTCCTAGAGAAAGATGGACCCGTGGGTCCTAGCCTTGTTACCTCCCTGTGAAAAAGGCACCACTGTAGCTTAGAAGAGGCTGGAGGGTCCCCTGTAGTGGGCAAGACAGTGAATCCAGCCACTGGAGGACACTGCAGGCCTCAGCCAGCTACAAGTCACTGAGTCCCTCTCCTGGTGCCACCCCTCAGTACTCCCTGAAGCCAGCAGAGCTGTCGCTAAAGGAAATGGCCTGCAGTACACACCCTTTGGGGTGTGTGTTGGGGGGCAGCTAAGGACCCTCCACCAGACCTGTGGGGTGGGGTCCTCCTGGACTCTGCCTGGACATGAGGCTGGTGGGATGAATGCAAGCACACTTGGGCTCTGAGTGGAGGGGTCAGCGCCCACAGGGTGACTCAGCAGGGCAGGACAATGAGTCTCAGGACAGAAATAGCCCTGGCTCAGAGCGGCTGCCAGCATCTCCGTGACAACAGGGAGCAAGGCCCAGTGTCGTGGTCCCCCGTGGTGGACGCCCTGCAGCATCGTCGGGAGGGGGCTGTCTGTACCCCTCACTGCCCCCACCCCCAGGACCTCTCCACCCTGTGGAGCTGGGAACTTACGCCAGCAGGGGGAGGGGGGATAGACCCAGGCTCCAGGTATCGGGGCTCAGCACCCCAGGCATCAGCCCTTCTGCTGGCCAGGATCCTTGGGAAGGTGTTTGGGCAACCTGGATAACAGGGAGGTTCAGCAGGTGTCAGGATTGTATTATTAATGCCCAGGGCGTCCACGGTCCCTAGCCCGGCGTGGGCACCTGAGTGTGGACTGCAGGCAGCGGGGCCTGGGACCAAGGAAGAGTGAACCATGGCGTCTATAGCCAGGGCATTAGGGTCGATCTGGATCAGCCTCTTGCTGCTGGTGAGAGTGCGGCATGGCCAGGAGGCTTCACAGACAGGGAGACGAGACGAGGGTGTTCAGAAGGAAACCAAGGTTAACCCTCCCTCACATGCCAGGGCAGCGAAGCCCAGGCTCCACTGGACCATGCTATGGATGGAGCCCAAGACTGACTCCAGAGCACGGGGGTCACTGGCTGGTGATTAGTGGCCTGGGCTTCTGGGGAGGGGGTGACATGCTGAAGCTGGAAGACACCCCAGGATGGCATGGAACTCCTGAGAGCATCACCTGCATTTCCTTTGCCTTTGCCCTTCCTGTCCAAGAACACGGGCATGGGCCCAGTGTAGGCAGCGAGGCCAAAGGACAGCCCAATCCTCCTGCCCACTGTGGTGGCCTGAATTATCCCTGACTATTCTCCCTCTCCCTAGGACCCCAGAAGCTGGGGGTGGGGGGCCTTCCTGGAGCAAACTGTGCCTGATCTCCACTGCAGGTAGGCTCCACAGAGAGACCTCTGAGTGAGGGACTGGAAAGTCCCAGAGCCGGGAAGCCATTTGGTTAGGACAGGTGGTTCTGGTGATCCATCCAAGGGCCTCTGTATCTGATTCTGCATCTCCCTGGCTGGAGAAGCATCCTGGTCACCATGCAGCCTTTAGCCTCACCTCCAGGAACCAGGCCCTGGGAACATGGCTTACCTACCATGGGAGCCCAAGGGTGAGGCCACAGAAAGGTGGGGGGCTTCTCAGATGCACCTGAGCTGGGACACTCTGCACCTCATTTTCTTCAGCTGTAAAATGCGTGTGATGGCAGCCACATTGTCACGAGGCCTAAAGCCCTTAAAACGTGCAGCAGCTCAGAACAGCGTCTGGTCAGCAGCTCCCTGAGTCTGTGCACCCGAGAGCATCAGAGATAATGAGCATAACCCAGGACTGCATTGCCCCCCCCCCCACTCCCAACCAGCCTGCCACCCTCCAGGCCAGCCTGGATAAGGGCCCTCAGCACTGATGGGCAGGTGCACGCAGAGCTGGCCTCAGCCTGGGAGCAATGATGGGTGCTGACAGGCAAGGCACAAAGAGCTATTATCTCAAGCCTCTTCATGGACACTTCCCCGGGAAAGGCCTGGGGATGAGCGGCCACCGGGGTGGGGCAAAGGGAGGAGGTGAGAGGCTCACTGCTGGTGGAGGCTGGGCAGGCACAACGAGGGGCCTCATCACCACCTGCCCCTCCAGAGAAGCTCCCCAGGCTGGTATGGGTTGGCTGCTCTGCCCACACCACAAACACAGAATGGGGGACACAGCATCCTGTATTCCACACCCCCAGCCCAACTTTCTCCTTGGCCCTGATATCCTCGGTGTCTGGAGGTAGAACCTCACCCCCAGCCTAGCTGTGAACCCCACAGGGCATCCCTGAGCAGAGCAGATGTTGCAGAGTGACCCTGTCTGGTGGCTTTTAATTTTTGGTACTGGGGTTTGAACTCAAGACCTCATTTTTGCTAGGGAATTGCTCTACCACTTGAGCCACACCTCCGGCCCTTTTTTTTTTTTTTTTTTGCGGTAGCTGTATTTTGGATAGGGTTTCATGCTTTTTTGCTGGGCTCAGCCTGGACCAAGATTCTCCTACGTAAACCTTCGGTGTAGCTGGGATGACGGAGGCACACACCACCACTCCTGGCTTGTTTATTGAGATTGGTCATTGCAACTTCTTGCTTGGGCTGGGCTCAAGCCTCAGTCTTCTCAATCCCTGCCTCCTGAGTAGCTGGGATTACAGGTGTGAGCCACTACGAGTGGCGATCAAGGGACTTTGCAGAGCTGTGTAGACAGGACTGGACTGTGTGTCCTGCAGCCTTTGCTCCCAGCCTCCTGCAGATAAGGTTTGGGGGGGGGGCACAGGCCCCATGTGTACCATGCATGGCCATGTGTGCATAGCTGTCAAAGCCTCTGAACCCCTGAGGGCCACACTGGGCCTCATATGTGGTGGCAGCATCCAGGGGGAATTTTAACAGCACAACAAAGAGCAAGAACAGGACTCCGGCTGTCACTGTGGTGACCAACAGCTGTTCCAAGTTGCATAGTTTCGTGGGAACAGGAGGTGATGTTTCTTGTTAGTCTGCACTGGAGGGAGGAGCTGCATGTTTCTCCCATCCTTGGATGTCCCTCTCCTGGGGTACCAGGGGCTGCTGTGTAAAGGCCCTGGGGCTGGGGTAGCTAGGTAGGCACCAGAGGCAGATGTCACGGGCTGACTTCCTGTCTGCAACACAGGGATAAGTGCTCCTCTCAAGGATTGCAACTCAGGCCTGGCAGCTGCATGGGAACCACCCCCACAGGAAGCAAGGAAGATGGGACTGCCTGAGCCACTCATGCTGGCCAAGGGCACCCTGACAAGATCCCACCGCACACAGGGCCAGGGCAGAGGGAGAGGGGCTACCTCCATGGGCACCAGAGGCAATGTGTCCAGTGAGTTGAGGGGCCTGACCTAGGTGGACTCCTGAGAAGGCAAGTGGTTACCTGGTCCCCTCATCCCAGCACAGCCTCCTGTCCTGGTTCAGGACCTGTGTCTTGGCCTGCACTGCAGAAGTCAAGTTGCCTCCTCCAAGATGTCCTCTCTGTCCCACTGGTTTACACACAGCTGTCCACATCCCCACCGAGGCTGGGCAATGATTCCCAGGATCTCGGGCCTCCCAGGTCTCCTCTCACAGGTCCATGCCTGTAGTCAGCATGGGGAAAGTGAAATGGTAGGTGCGGGGGAGGGGAGGGAGGGACACAGGGGCTCTGAGTCTGGGTATCCCTGTGTGGGCAGCTGCTCCCCTCCCCTGCCTCTCACAGACTGGAACAAGGGTCCCTGGGGCCTGGGTATCAGAGGTGAGACATGCACACCCCCACCCTGGATGGTCCACAGTCTCCAGGGTGTCACCTGGCTCCCATCTGAGGGTGCTGGAAAGAGTTCCCTGTGCCCGCCACCGATGTGCCCCTGTGAGCCTCCAGGCACTGGGCAGTGAGAGCTGCTGGGCTGTGGGTGTGCACAGGGGTGTGGCCCAGGGTGGGGCTTCACGTGAGAAATTGCTCCAAGTGTGGTCAGTGGGAGAGTTCAGGTGAAGCCAGTAGTCTGTCCTGAGGACATGTGAGGTGAGGCTGGGAGCTGGGGGTGCGGGGGAGGAAGGGATGTGAAGACACCAATGGACACCAAAGGCTCTGGAACCACTGGTGAAAGTAGGAGGAGCCAACCCTGGTGGAGGAGGGGCGACCCAGTCGGACACCTCAGCAGCCACAGTGGGGGGAGGGGTCACATGGGCTTCATGGGCTTGTCATTGTTCTCTGAGTCCTGGGGACTCCTTGTCCTTAGGTCTGATGCCTCAGCACTCCTGGGTTGGGATGACAGAGTCCACAGGCAAAGCCTAGCTACACAGGGACCGGGACCCCTGCACAGAGGACCACACCAAAGATTGCAACCTGGACCACAGGCATGTGTGAAAGGCTAATGAGCTCTTTATTTGGGTTACTGGTAGCCAGCCAGCTGGAGGACAGTGGGGTAGTGGTTGCGGTGGGTCATGCATTTCTGGCGGTCAATGAAGAGGCTGTTGGCCTTGACCGCGATGTCCTTCTCCAGGGTCATGCGTGTGTCCTCCAGGTTGTGCAGAGCCTGCTCTGCATCCTGTAGCTTGTCCCTCAGCGCAGTAAGGGACATATTCAGCTCCTCCACCTCACTCATCAGCCTGTGGGTGGGAGGCCATGTGAACCGGGCTCAGGGAGTGAAGCCTTGTCCCAGATGGACCAGCCTTTCAGACTGGGAGGGAACCCCAGGTAAGAAGGAGGACATCTGAAAGGATCCCAAGACCCACAGGGAAGTCCACCAGGAAAGTAGCCATGGAGCATTGTGGGAGAGGACATGTGCACTCAGATGGACACTTGGGGACCAGGTATGAATTAAGAAGGTCATGCTCCAAGCCAAGGGGGACCCACCAGCTGTGCCCTGAGGGAGCCTGTGCAACAGCGACACCCAGTGGCAATGATAAGGAGTGGCAGGCTGACAGCTCCCTCCATGTTTGCATGGAGGTCTGACCCATGGAACCGAGTAAGGCTCCTAGTTTCTTGAACAAAGGGAGGGGCAGGAAAGTTGCCCTTACGCTTAGAAGGGCAACTGGACACTCCAGAAATTAGAAAAACAAGGCATGACCTATCCATGCCCGACACAGTTACACCAGAGGTGCAGGGGTGGGCAGAAGGCCATGCCTGGCCTCTCTGCCTTGTAGCTTCAGGGACCTAGACCCAGGGCTCCTTCCAGGAAGGTTAGACATCCTCCTCCCAGGATCACACCAGCGTCCAGGGTCTGTCTATACATGGGGAACCCCAAGGGTTGAGGGAGGTCAAGGAGACTGAAGGGTGACAGGGGCCAACAGGGACTGCCCCAGAGGTGAGGGGGGCTGGGGCACCTGAACTGAGCTGCATCCCGGCACAGCTCCACGTTGGGCCGGTGTGAGCGCTGGTACAGGCGGGTCTGAGCCACACGCAGTGGTGCCTCCTTGTCCTTGATGGCCCGCTTCAGCAAAGCCACCTGGTGCTCTTGGTCAGTGATTTCCTGCAGTGTCTGCAGTAGGACAGTGGCGTGAGCCCGAGCCAGTCCTGGGTCTGGGGCAAGCAGAACGCCACCCCCTCCCCAGTCCCAAGCACGTGAAGGATCAGGTCAGCCCCTCCCTTCTCCCCAAGCTGGGCATATAAGCCCTGGCTGTGTCTGGGCAACAGCCCTGCCCAAGGGCTCCCAGAGGGCTCCGGTCAGTCGGTGCACTCTGTCTGTTGCCCAGCCCCAGCAAAGAACTCAAGGTACGCAGAGGCAGCAAAAGCCACATTGAGAACCTAGCATCAGAGCCTCGCTATCGAGTCAGGACTGCTTGGGGCACCCCATATGGCATGCTGTTCCCCAACATCACCTCCACGCTGCGTGCTGCTCCTATGGCCGGCAGCGCCTGTGGTCAGCAGACACTCAGGGTTGGCAATGTCTGCAGACCACCCCCAAGTGTAACCTGGTTTTACACCAGCTTAATGAACAGTCCAGAGAAGTGTCCCTGAGAGTGGGCGGGACACAGGAGGGACAGGGGATGAGGCCAGGTCATGACTGGGCATAGAGTGGCCAGGGGCGAGAACAAGGATCTGGGCCTTTCTCTGTGGTTAAGGGATGGGCGTGGCTGGAGTGTGGGGTGGGCGTGTCCCGGGTGTGAGTGGGCAGGTCAGGGAGTGGGCGTGCCCCGTGGTGGGCGTGCCCCGTGGTGGGCGTGCCCTGCCGGGTGGGCGTGCCCCGTGGTGGGCGTGCCCCGTGGTGGGCGTGCCCTGTCGGGTGGGCGTGCCCCGTGGTGGGCGTGCCCTGTCGGGTGGGCGTGGCCCGGGTGGTTCGGCGTGCCCTGTCGGGTGGGCGTGCCCCGTGGTGGGCGTGCCCTGTCGGGTGGGCGTGCCCCGTGGTGGGCGTACCCTGTAGGGTGGGCGTGCCCCGTGGTGGGCGTGCCCTGCCGAGTGGGCGTGGCCCGGGTGGTTGGGCGTGGCTCCCTCCCACACCTTCTGCAGATGGTACTGCAGTTTATGCCGCGCGTCCTCCAGCTCCTCGCAGCGGCGCGCAAAGGCCAGGTTGACGGCGTCGCACTGCAGCCGCAGGTCCTCGGCCGTGTCCCGCAGAATGCAGTCGATGAGCGTCCGCAGGTTGTCCGACGCCAGGCGCTCGCGCTCGGCGCGGATCAGGTTGCCCTTGGTGAATTTAGCCCACGTCTCGGGCGTGGATGCGCTGTGGGCGGCGGCGCGGCCGGGTCGCATGAGGCCGTACAGAGTGACCCCCCGCGTCCCCTTCGCCATCCCCCCACGGCCCCTGTGACCTGGGCGCATCACCGCGTCCCCCTGCTGACTTGGGGACACCCCAACTGCTGCGCTGCCCCTGGTGGCAGTCGCGCTCCCTCTGTCGGCTGCGCGTGGAAACGCAGACCCAGCCCTTAGGAGAACGATGGGCGCTGTGCACTGGGGTAGGGGTCTTGCTCTCTTGCCAATATCCCAGGAGCAGACAGAGCTGCCCGAGTGGCCTGGGTAGTGAGGGTCTTTGGGGTCCCTGCTCTAGGGCAGAAGTCCTATAGATCTGACAGGAACCCGGGTAGGGGTGACCATGGGGCTGGCACAGGGCTAGATACACAGGCTCCTACCTCTCCTCCATCCTGATGGAGTGCGGGTGGACCTGCACTTCCGTGCTCTGGTTGTGGTAGTGGGTGCACATCTCGTCGATGTTGTAGGCCTCCACCTTGTCTGACCAGTCCATCTCGCAGGTCTCCTTGTGCTCACGGTTCAGCCTAGGGAGAAGGCAGGACCAGCCATCAGCCCATAGCAGGGCTAGGAACCCCCCTCCAGCAGCAGGTGGGGCTCCTGTTCTAACTGAGGAAAGCAGCTCGGCTCCAGGACTTCTCTGTCTGGGGAGGTCCTGACCCTGGGGCCCTCATCCCAAAGCAGTCTTCCCCCTCCTCCTGGTGGGAAGTTTCAGAACAAGTGTAGGCCTGACTCAGCCCAGCTCTCTGCTGTGACCTGACAGCCCCTGACCTCTCAGCCACCCAGACGTCCTGCCCTGCAGGCCACCTGGAGTCCACTGCAACCCACCGTATCTGGTTTACAGCTTGCAGGATGGTCCTCTTCAAGAGCTCCTGAATGTTCCGGATGAGCTCAGCTTCCTGGGAGAGGAGGGGACCCCACCTGAGCCTCAAATGATGGTGACCCTGGCCTGGGTCACCATCAGCCCCTTAAATACTAGGAGGAGCTGAAATTTGGGCCTGACCCCCTCATTGACCTGCACCTCAGCCGCTCTTTCTGGAAAATGGGGCACCAGCCCAACTTTCTTGCTGGGTTTATTCTGGGATTTTGAACATTTGTTTTGGGGTATCGTAGCTAGGGTATTTTCTTACAGAGGCCTCTATTGTCTGCTGGGAGGGTCACCCTGGGAATTCCCTCAGGCTCTGGGATCATCCCTATATCCTCTCCCCGCTGCAGCCACCAGGACGCACAGGACAGGAGCCTCTGAGGCCCCTGAGCCCTGGGTTGTCCACGTGAGCTGCCCAGTGCCCACCTCTTGCTTTGTACCCCCCAGGTCGCCCTCCCTGGCCCTAGGCGACAGGTAGTACCTTCAACAGCTCCATTTCCACATAGTCGCGCACAAGGTCCGGGTGCTGGCGGCGCTCACGGCACTGCAGGTTGTCGGTGGCAATGGAGAAGGGCAGGGAGGTGGCGTCCAGGGCGCGCTCCAGCCGCTGTTTCTGAGCCAGCAGCAGGTCGGTCTCAGCGACCAGCTCATTCACCTCGCGTCGCAGCTCCGCCTTCCAGCAGTGCGTGACCTCCAGGCGCTCACCTGTCTTGCGCGTGGAGTCCTTCTGTGTGCGCTGGGCCAGGGCCTCCGTCTCGGCCGCCATCTGCTGGCTCTCTTGCCGCTGCCGCTCTGAGTGGGTTCGGTCCATGATGGCCTGGTGGTACTGGCCATGAGAGTTCTGGAACCACTCATCCATCAGGTACTTGGCCGTGCGGAAGCCGGCAGTGGCCAGGCCTGAGGACGTATAAGCGCCTGTGTTGCAGGCCATGTCGTGCTCCTTGTGTGGCAGCGCGCACGGTTCAATCGTCTGTGGGGCCGGCTGCTTGGTCAAAAGTACGTCCGTCTGTGCCATGATGCCGGCCGCCCTGCTGGGCAGGGGTTGGGAGTAAGGGGGAAAGTCACTGGGCAGTCAGCCAGGCACGGTCAGTGGGACAGTACCAGTCACTCTGTCCTGAACAGGACACGGCTGCTGGTCGCCCCAGTGACACTGTACACACCAAAGGCCTCCTGTGGCTTGGCGACGAAGGGGGGAGGGTCAGGGAATTTGCTACTCAGGGCAACAGAACTACCCTCTTAAAGGGCCAGAAGGCCCTCGTCCATCCTCCCCACCCCAGCCATGACCCAAGGATCAGCCCAGGGGTTCATGTCCCCTAGAGGGCCTGAGGCCAGTCCTAGGCCTCTGTGTCCCTGTCCTTGGGGCCAGGGTGAGGAGAGATCCTGCATCTTTTGACACCTTGTCCCCTTCATTGGTTCTGCTAACTTTTCATCTCTGGTATTGTCTTCTGTGTCTTACCCTGACCTCAGCTCTGCTCAGCCTGATCAGGACAGGGGGGCCCAGCCCATTTGGCCCTGTTAGGATGAGCAGCTGGGGCTGCGGGGTGGACCTCAGGACCAATTTACACAGCCCTACAGGTGCCTCATCTCCCTGCCACCGTCCCTACATCACCCTGTGGTCCTTAGGCACCACCCTGCCTGGGCAGTCTGCGTCCCTCCCGCAGTCCTAGGGTTCCGGACCCACACTCCCTCCTCAGCCCTGGGGCCTTGCTTGGGTGACTGAGTCCAGGGCCAGTGCCTGCTGGGACACTGGCCACATCTGCTCCTGGGTGCTGCCTGAGGGTCAGGTCCCCCTTTCCTGTCCCAACTTCCGTGTTCGGTGAGCTTTCCGCCTTGCAGCACCCTGGAGAGCTGTGCTTGTTTTGTGAAGGAGGTTGAATTCAGTCTCTGGTTGTGTCTGCAATCAGCATCCAACTCTGCTTCGCAGCGGGGAGGAAAGTCCTGTCTGGGAGTGGCTGTCCCAAGGCCACCCGGGCTGCATGGCCGAGGCCAGTTGGACTAGCAACGGGTGGAATCTATCCCGGGGCCAGGAAGGCCCCAGACTGGAGCGATGCCCACCATGCCCAGCAGAGGGCACTATTGACCGTGTAATGCCTCCAGGCACCCTGCATCCTCTGGCCTGGGTGACCCTACAGTCCCTCTGGCCTCCACTTCCCTAGAGGCACCCCCATACTCAGTCCTCCTGGCCAGAAAACCACACCCATACCCCAACACAGGTCCAGTAGCCCCAACCCCTTCCCTCATCTCCTCTACCACCATTGTCCCTATCTCCTGCTTTCCTCACAGGGGCTCCAGGCTCCTCCTCCTTGCACATAGCAGCCTTTGCCCAGGCTGTGCTCTCCTGACACCCCTCCACTGGCACTGACCCCTCAGCCTCTGTCCCTCACGTCACGCTGGCCTGACATTTACACCATGGTGCACCCAGTGGGTGCTTCATCAATGTGAGCCTGGAGACTCCCCCTGAGGCTGACTAAGCCAGAGTCCCTGCTGTCCTTCAAGAATGGGAGGCTGGGGACCCTTGGGGGTTAATGTGGCCTTGGGAACTCCCTTGATCCCCTCTGTGATTCAGTTTCCCCAAATCACAGCAGGCAGAGCCCCTGGACCTACCATCCCCCTAGAACCTGCATTTTACACATCTTTTCCCATGGCCAGGGCAGAGAAGAGCTGCTGGCATCCATCCCTGGCCTGCAGACCCAGGGGACTGCCAGGGGTGCACTCCCAGCTTGAGCCAAACTCAGTGACCCCAAGTAAACCTCCGCCTCAGTGTCCAGGAATTGGGAGAAGGGATGGGGGTACAGCAAGTATGTCCTGCTCTCCTGGGGCTTCCGGGTTGACAAGGGAGAGTGAGTCTCTGCACAGACTCTCCTGTGACAGAACTGTCCTCAAGGCAGAGCTGCAGACCCCAGAAACATGCAGGTTGATGGGTGAGGACTTGGCCCACTCAGCCATACCTCCCCCAGTCTGGCCTGGGAAGTGCTTCTGCCCCTGGCCACCATGTGGCCAGGCAGGAGACTGTCCCAGCCTCAGTTTCCCCATTTGGGAAAGGAATAACACTGATCACTTCACAAGCTGCCATGGGGACAGGGCTGGGGCGGAGTGGAGATAGGCAGTGCTCAGTTTTATTGGATTTGTTTCTAAGTCACATTTGTGATGGGAAAATTGAGTCTCAGGACCTTAGCAGAGTCAGGAATGCCTGGGCCCCATCTGCACTGCACCTGTGTCCCCAGGGCTGGTCCCTCCTCTAAGGCAGCTCTGAACAACGCCTGGAACCAAGTCCCCCCAGTCTGTCCCTCCATTTGGGGGTGGCTGAGGGGCTGCACATCCTGCTGGGTGTCACCTCTGACCCCAGGGTGCTGACAGCCCTGCACGCCAGGTTCAGGGGGTGCCCAAGAGAGCCCTCTGGTCAGGCCCACAATGGGGAGAATAGGGTGAGTGTGAAGTGAACAGCTGCAGTTGGTGACAGAGAGGATGGAGAACTGCTAGGCATGGCTCTGCAAAGGTGTCCCTGGTCAGGGTTGGTTAAGAGGGATGGAGAGGGAGTTCCTCTGTGGTAGAAGAATGGGCAGGAGGCTGCCTGGCCCTAACTGCCTCTCTGCCCAGTGTCCTTCTGGCCTCTGGTGTTGGGCCAGCTCAGAGGTGACTGCAGAGTTGCTGGACTGGGCTATAGAAGGACAACTTGATGACGGCCTTGATGCCAGGAGACCCAGAGAGCCTCTCCCCCCAGCACCATCCAGATTCACGCAGGCACATAGGGTCAGTGACCTTAGTCCACACTACAGATCTCAAGCCTTGGGTTCCTCCCCACGAGCAGCATGACTGTCCTTGACCTTCTGTCCCCACACGAGGCTTGGATGCAGCAGGGTCACTCTGGGACAGCTGGAGCCACGTGTCATCTCCAGGGACTACTCCAAACACCATTACTGGAGGGGGCCTGGGCATGAGGACCCTGTCCAGCTGGCCTCTAAGGCTGAAGGCCCCTCCCTCCACTCTGTCCTTATCCCGGAAGGTACCATACGGAAATGGAAACATGTCACCTCCACTCAGCCTCACAGCCTCCACCCATGACAAGAGCGTCCCGGGAGGCCCAGGCTGAGATAGGCCCTAGATCAGAAGACGTGATGGGCCAGCAGAAGAGAACTCGGCCATCTGGCAGCCTTGACCCCTGGGCCAGCCCTCCCTGCTCACCCCAGTTGAGCTGTCCTGTCTCCAACACACCCACCTGCGGGTACAGCGGGTGGCACACCCCTTCATCTCTTTCGGGGCCAGCAGAAAATTTTAGTAACAGGAGGATTTGAAGTAGTTTGGCAGCCTTGAGCCAACTCTGCAGCTGGCAGAGCCCTGTGCTAAAAAGGCAGGAAGTGAGCAAGAGGAGACAGCAGAGGACTTCCTGGAGGAGGAGTCCCCTAGGCTGAGCCTTGAAGGGTACACAGTCTGAATTGTGGTGTGGATGAGTGGGGAGGATTTGGGGAGTGGCCCTTCCCTGGTGGTCCCCAAGACCACTGTGAAAGCCCCCTTCCCTGGGGAGGCATAGTCCCAAAGGATGAGATGAGGTGAGAAGATGTGGGGTAGGCAGCAGGTGAAGGTGGGGTCCCAGGACCACGGATGCTGCCCTGTCCATTTCTTGACTAGGGAGGCAGAGCTCAGAAAGGAGACTCTGAGGTGTGGCATGTGTGACTCGTGTGCCTGACAGTGGGCAAATGTGTGTGGCTGATCGGGCAGCCATGTCTACTTCCAAACCCCAGGGGTGCCCTGCTTGGCCCTCAGCAGCAGTCGGCACCATAGTCCAGCACCCGGGACGTCCCCATCTCAGAGCCTAGCTTTACAGGCAAAGCCTCACAGTGCAGACACCACCCCCAAAAAACCCCCCAAAGCTAAGTGACCAGGAGCCTCCACATGACCGTGTCTCAGTTTCCCCATTTGTTAAATGGGATGGAATAGGGACCCCCCCCCCATTGACCTTGTGGGGGTTTAAGGACAAAGCAGACAGTACACACAGCTCCTTCAGCTCCTGGGCTGGCTGGGTGGAGAGGCAGACGCAGGCCGGAAGAAACCTGGGTGTCCAGAGCCTGGCAGGTGGGAGTCTTGCTGGGCTCCCCACCCAGAGAGTCTTCAGGCAGCAATGGCAGTCGAAGACTGACCCTTGATCTTCACCACTCAAATCTGAGTTAAACAATTCTCAGAAGAAGCTGTGAAACTCCAGAATTAAGCAAAAATAGTGCATAGACCACAGCTGCAGTGGGTGTTGAAGGAGTAGGAAGAGCCGTGGACGGGAGACAGGTGAGCACCTGGATATAGAAACAGGTGGATATAGAAACAGGCTTACAAAGAAACCTCTGCCCAAGAAACGCGATGGAGATGAAGGACTGGGTGGGGGGACAAGTGTCAAATGGCTGCCAGCAAGGCAAGGGAACCAACACTCCTCCCACTGTGACCCTGCACCCTCCCCTCCGTGCCTGCCTGTACCTGCCCAGCTGTCAGTCAGCAGTGTGGACACCATCACCACGTGAGTGAGGAAAGTTAGAGTGAGAACAGGGCAGTTGGGTGGTAAAGGGCCAGGAGAGTTTATCACAGTCACTATCTTTTTTTTTGGATGAGACTGGGGTTTGAACTCAGGGCTTTATGCTTGCAAAGCAGGTGCTTTACCACTTAAGTCACACAGTCCATTTTGCTCTGGTTAATTTGGAGACAGGGTCTTGTGAACTATTTGCCCAGGCTGACCTCAAACTGAAATCTTCATGATCTCAGCCTCCCAGGTAACTAGGATTACAGGAATGAGCTACCTGCACCTGGCAGTCACTATTTTTTTTTATTGTGGCATAAACCATACAATAGAAACTTGACCACTGAAAGCATTTGCAAGTACACAGCGTCATACAGCCCCACCTCTGTCTACTTACAGAACTTCTTCATCACCCCATGAGAAGTCACCCCATTCTCCCACCAGCCCCCAAATATCACGTCTGCTTTCTGTCCGTGAGTTGGCTTCCTCTGGAGATTTTGTATAAATGGAATCACACA